GGATTATTAAAAAATAATAGATAATTCGTTTTATTTTTTGGAAAATCGATTTATCATAGAATCGGCTTCTTAATTAATTGGTTATTTTCGATTAGGCGATTATTTTGGAATTATTGGTTATTTTTGGTATTTCAAAGATAATCGAATTATCGATTTTAAAGGAAATACAATAAAAATAGATTATTGATATTAATCGATTATTTAAAATAATCAATCATTCTGTTTTTTTGAAAATCGATTTGTCAGTTAATCGACTTTTTAATTAATCGATTATTTTTGAAATACAATAAAATAGATTATTGGTAATAATCGATTTATCATAGAATCGGCTTCTTAATTAATTGATTATTTTCGATTAGGCGATTATTTTGGAATTATCGATTATTTTCGGTATTTCAAAGATAATCGAATTAACGATTTTAAAGGAAATACAATAAAAATAGATTATTGATAATAATCGATTGATCGAAAATAATCAATTATTTAAAATAATCGATCATTCTGTTTTTTTTAAATCGATTTATCAGTTAATCGACTTTTTAATTAATCGATTATTTTTTATTAATCGATTATTTTCGATTTTTCAAAGATTATCGAATAATCTGTTTCCATGGACGAAAAAAAATGGTTTATTTGAAAATAATCGATTATTTAAAATAAACGATAATTCTATTTATATTATGTTTTGTAAACACTGATTTATCGGTTAATTTGCTTTTTAATTAATCGATTATTTTTGATTTTTCAAAGATAATCAAGTAGTCGATTTTAAAGGAAATGACAAAAATATATTGTTTGAAAATAATCGATTGATCGAAAATAATCGATTATTTTCAACGATCGATAATTTATTTCGATAATCACTCATCCCTAGCTACCAAATGACTTTTAATAGATTTAAATTTTAAAATGTTATCTGGTTTCAGACATATACATTTCTAGAGTTTTATGTGACTCATCCTTTATAATAATTAATATTCCTAAAGAAAGAAGCCTTAACATACCTTTTTCTGAGGTTATAATACAAAACAGCATTTTCTCATTTTGACTAATTTCTATTATTATGTAATTGCTGTAGAAAAAATATAATGTTCAACTCATAAGGGTAGATTTGCAGTATTAGCCTGCGCACATGCTATTTTTATAATACTCGTAGACAATGAGTAACATTTTTTGCTCTATTAACAATATATTCTATTTCAACATTTTACTGTAATCTCTTGCAGAAAAGTCCGTAGTAAATAAACGCTAACGAAATATTCTATAAAAGGTCTTCTCTTTACATAAAATGTCGTGGCATCTGTTTGATATTAAAAAATCACGTTAATTTTATTTCATAATACAAAATTCGATTAAACACCTTTTAAATAAACCTAATAGTTCATTAAGATGCTAATAAACAAAGTCCGGTCCCTGTCACAGAGTTCGTGTCGCCGCCCAGTTCCCCCACTCCGTTAACCCTTCTTTAGAAATTGGCAACATTTGCGCAGGTTTAAAACCGGTGTATGTTATATCTCTGGTCTCTTTTATCTAAGGTTATTCCATATAAAAATAAAAATTCACAAAAAACTATAAAAACTACTAAAATAGGTTTTTTTTCGTGTACTAAAAAATAACATAAAACTATTGAATAAAATGAAAACTGACAGCAAACGGCCTACAAAAAACAATTAAAAAAATTCTTAAAGTGAAATATTTACTTAAAGCAAGAGCGGCTCGAAGACGAATTTTCGGAGAGGGGAGGGGGGCATTAATAATACTCTCCCTAATTCATCCCCTTACGAGTGAATTTTAACCCCATCTAACCTCCAAAAGCTTGTGCGGGGAAAGGGACGGCTATTATTATTATTTGCCGTGGCGCTCCGGGGCGACTAAAAGATGATTGATGATGCCATTTGACTTACAGGTGAGGAAAACCGGAAAACTTCACACACCATCATCGAGACGGTAATGCATGGCGATTTTATAATCTGCATGTCATATTAACAGAAATTAAATTTCTATTAATACGGCACACATCAAATCCTATACCGAACCATGCAATTTAATTAAAAATCCACATGGTCTGGCCTGGGATTCGAAACCCGGCAGTCTCGGACCATAAACTTGCCTATAAATGAGTATAAGCGCGTTAGACTGCTACACCACCGACCCGATTGCCATTAGATATTCCCTTTTTAGAACTGAAACAGTACCCAATGAAGCAGTATCTATTGAGATCTAAAAATAGATCGAGTGAATCTATTTTTACCTTTAACAAATAACTGTCGGAGGCAAGTAAGAGCGTAGCCTTCATATAGATAATATACAAACTACAAACGAGCGAAGGTAAATCCAAGAATCGGTGGTAGTCGAGACTTACAAATAGATCAAGGTCGTCAAAGCGGTTTCTTGCCATAAATTAGGGAGCGTCAACAGCGGCAACACTGTCGGAGGCAAGTACGAGCGTACCGTTTACATACGATATACAAATGGTGGCAAGTAAGACAGTATTTACTCGGAGTCGTGTTACATTTAAAAATTTACCGAAAAGCTGTATATAATTTTTTAAGGAATTCGCTTCCCCTCGTATGGCGCCAAGTAAGCTTATCAATTTACGCTTCTAAATATGTGAAATATATACAGAGAAACGCACTGTTTATGGTATTTGCCCAATAATCCTTTTATCTTTTATATTTTTTCACCGCGCTAAACCTTTTCTTTCTAACCACCCTAACTCTGTTAGTTTTAATAATTGCAAAAAATGCTAAATATAATTTTTATGTAAAACTTTATGCATTACAATTTTTTTTAAGAACTTTTTTTATAGCACCTATCGTTTTTAAATAACCTTAAAAAACACTTTATTTTCTTGTTTTTCGCCATTTGACGCGACCTGAAAAACAAAATTTTTTTACCTATCGTTTTTAAATACTCTAAAGTGACTTATAACAAAAATTCCTGTATTTCCTCCAAAATTTTGATTTAAAGGTCTATTTGATTGGAGTATAAACCTTAGAAACAAAGTTCATAGTGTAAATACTCTTTAGGCAAATTCACTACATTAGTTCACTACACATATAATACACAGAGGAGATGTTACATATACTTGGAGTAGGTACTTAAATAAATTATTCAAGACCATATCTCAGATTTATTTTAGCAGCGCACTTTTTGTAAGTTGAAATCCCCAGCAAGGGATACTTTAGAGTATTTCTAAGGTAAAGATAGCACCTTTTACTCAAATATCTTCTCGTAAATACTTAACAAACTTCTCAACTCTAAAAGGCTCTTGTTTTCTTCTTTAAAATGATTTGTAACTATGTACTTTTTACTAAAACACTTCCTATAGCAAATCCTTTTTTCAAAAATGTAAATTCCTTCGACTTTTTTGCTCTCAGTTGTTTTTAATGTTTGTAAGAAACCATCTCGTTTGCTTTTAAATGTAGGGTGGACAAAAGTGCAATTAATTTAAAAATGGTGAACGATATTTGCAGAATAATTACTCTAAAATCTTAGCATTAGTCTTTAATTTCAGTTTAGACGATTTTTGTGTGGTGTGTAAACAGTAAAAATTGTTTGACAACAGCAGAACTACGGCTCACTCCAGTCTTGCCAAAATTTCAAAATATTTCGGGATATAAACAAAGTATGATTCGAATTTAGCAAGGAGGCCATACCCTTATCCAAAATGTTTAAAATAAACCATTCACATAATAATATTTCTCTTTATAATTCAAAAAAAAAGTAATTAATTTGAAATTTGATGGAAATCATTACACGATTTTTCCATGCCGTTTTGTTTCTTGTCTTTCAAAAAATCAAATTACCGATTTTATAAAAACTCCAACGCAGGTGTACAGTCCAAAAATAAAAATATAAACACCACTAAATATTAATAAAATATTAGATTTTTTAAAAAACTAATGTACGAACCGCAGCAGAATATTTTCTGTCAACACGATTTTGCATTTCGTGACGTTACAGCCTTCCTTAACAACGGATGAGGAGGCCACCGTGGTGTCTTCGAATCGTGATCTTTCAGACTGCGAACACGGCACACTTCTCTGTTCTACAGTAATCAACATTGAACTAACTATGGACAAATGACATTATCTGACCGTATTTGCTTAAACTATTATAAGTTTTACCCTGAATGTGGCATTTTCAATGTAAGCTTACCAGTCCTTTTTGTTTTTAATTTGTTTTTGTATTTTTATTCACTTCTTGTAACGTTAGTTTTGTAACAATTGTTTATTTTAAAATAGTTTATTTATCTAAAACAGTTTATTTATAATTTATTTACACTAAGTACTAATTAATTTATTTATACTTAACCACTATTTCACAGTTATAATTTATTTTAACATTTAACCTTTACTTGACTAGATTTATATTAAAAATTCTGTTTATAAACTTCGACTGACTTACTAAACAAAGTCGCGCTATTTATATAAAGCCAGCCCTGCTCAAGAGTATTCTCGGTGGTAGTCTAGAAGCTCTTGGAATCCTTCCTCAAATATTTCTCCAGTTACTTCTCGAAGGGGTGCGTTTGTCTCTGCAGCGATATTGAAACACAGACGGCGGCTTGCACAGCAAGAGGATCAGGATCAGTCGCGGGTGGTCGCACAAATAAAAAATAAAGTGTGACACTTCATTTAAAAGCTAATTTTATTTTTTATTGTGGGTGACTGCGATTAAAGTTAAATTGATGTATATTCTATTATGTCAAAAAGTGCGATACTTATAAATAAAAATGACCTGTTTTTGGACACTCTAGGGGGCATAATAAACTATTATTATGATAAACGAGTATGCAAATTATCAATATTTTTACAATTAATGTCAAAACATCTAGGATTTTGGAGTAAAATTTAATAACGTCGATAATTGTATCAATTGAATATGTTTTATTTTATATACTAAAGGTTAAGGAAATTAGCTGTTGTTTTACCGTTGAAACTTAGCACACGGGGCAACCTTTTTCGGTTCATTAGCAATTTCTTTTCTCAAAAAACATTATGCAAATAGGGTGTTTTCAAAGAAGCGTAACGAAAATATATATTTCAGGTACTGGACCCGTTACACCGTACATGTCATCATATGCCAGGCAACTAGGCTTTTCCAGTGTGATAGTAGGATTTATTTACACCATATTACCTATAAGTGGCATGCTGGCCAAGCCTTTCTTTGGATCCATAGCCGACAGATTTCGTTGCCAAAAATTTTTGTTCTTAGCGGCACAACTTTTAACGGCCGCAGCTTTCCTAGGTGTATTATATTCCCCGAAAGTAGATGTGTCACGCCAAGTGCAGCTATCGTGCTATAAGAATGTTCCTGTTTTGAGTACAAATTCAACTATAAGCAAATGTTCCATAGATGAAATCAAGAAAGTACAAAGTTGGGGTACATGTAAGGTAATTATATTAAAATTACGTTTGGGATTTGTTCTATTGTTTTCCTAAAATATTTTCGTGAAAGTCTATTTGATATCCTCAAAAATTTGTTCATGAGTATATGTTTAAAAATGACAAGCATTTTTTCACAGATACTTCAGTTACTCTCTTTATAATCCACATAATCCATCTCGTATAAATATACAGGGTGTCCTTTAAAATGTGTCCCAAAATTCTCAGGCAGATTCCTTAACCAAAAAATGGAAAAAAAGTTCCTATAGACCTATGTCCTAAAGTGCCCCCTAAGCGAGCAACAGCCTCTCGAAATCATTTTTTTTATTTTGATTTTTTGAATTTTCTTAAAAATAGAAACAAATAAAAGAACCAAATTTTGGCTGTTAAATATGATCAATAATAGTGACCTTTTGACACCTTCAAAAAGAAATTATTTCGTCAGGGGTGTACTTGGGAATTTTTTGAAAATTTTGATTATTCATAACTTTTTTGTGTTTTTGGTAATGACTTATCCATATTTTTTTTTACATTCTACATTGAAAACTACGTCAAAAAGGAATACTTGTTTGATCTCGATTGGAGCAGCCGTTTCCGAGAAAACATCATCCAAAGATATTCGTCCACTTTAGCTTAATTTTCAATTTTCCTAAATTACCTCGGTGAATCTCGTAAATAAAAATAACTTTTTTAGCTCTCTCTAAATAATTGTAGTTCAAATGTCGTGGTGGGACTATTTTTATTTAATAATAAGAAACGGTTTAAAAAAATATTTATTCTAAAAAAACAAATCAAAAAAAATTAAAGCAGATGCTCAATGTGGCGACCATTGGTTTCCACACACAAGCGCAACCGTCGCATCATAGACTGTCTTACACGAAAAAATACTTCAGGATTATTCCTAAGAACTTCGCAATGATGAAAAACTCGTTCTTCCAATTCTTCAACTGTTTCAACAGGACTGGAATAAACCAATGATTTTAAATAACCCCAAACAAAAAAATCCATTGGATTTAGATCTGGTGAACGAGGTGGCCAGTTAACAGGACAACCTTTGCCAATTACTCTACCCTCAAATCTTTCGTTAAGGTGCTGTCTAGCTTCAAGGCTGTAATGTGGTGGAGCTCCATCATGCATAAACCACATGTTATGTCTGATTTGAATCGGAATATTATCAAGAAGCTCATGTAAGTTATTTTCCAAAAAAAGCCTGTATGCTGCTCCATTTAACCTATTCGGCAAAACAAATGGTCCAATAAGGTAATTATCAATAACTCCAGCCCAGACGTTTATTGAAAATTTATCCTGGTGGTGACGTTCAACAACCGCGTGAGGGTTATCTTCAGCCCATTCATGCATATTTCGAAAATTTATTATACCATCTCTAGTGAAACCAGCTTCATCGGTAAATAGCACTTTATTAAGAAACATTGCATCTTGATTACATCTTCCAAGAAACCATTCAGAAAAGATAACTCGCGGCTCATAATCAGTAGCTTTAAGTGCCTGAACTTTTTGAAGGTGGTAAGGGTACAATTGTTGTTCACGCAAAACTTTCCATACCGTGTTACGTCCGACTCCCACTTCTGAAACTAAATGAGAGAATCTGTGTAGTGAATAGTTAAGAAAGAGAATCCATTGATTTGGGAAATCAGATTTTTTCTGCATAACGCAACTCTTTTCGATACGAAAAGTCGTGAAATGTAAGAGAAGCAATAACAAGTAAAAAAACTAGTTTTATACGATAAGGTACGGGGTAGCTAAAATAATAAATAAGTAATTACTTACCATTTGCTATTTTTCTGGTACTTGTCGATGGGGTTTCAGCTACCCTATCTAAAATTGCTTCTTCCAAAGCAGGAGTTCTCACATAATTTTGTCTTCCACTGTTACTAGAGTTTTTCTTAAATGTACCAGTTTCCCGAAGTCTATCGTCAATTCTAGAAAACGTCTTAGCGCATGGAAGATGCCTATTTGGAAAGCGCTCCTGATAAAGTCTGCGAGCTTCATTGGCATTTCCAGAAGCGAGTCCAAAACATAAGTGCATGTCCGTCATTTCGCCGAATGTGTAATCATTATTGTAGTTATTGTGAGCCATTTTAAACAAAATAATAACAATACAACGAATCGCACCAGAACACTTTTAGAAATAATGTTTAACTGAAGAAACATTTTTATCAGTGAGCGAAAAAAATTATCAATGAAACACAAAAACGCCAAAAAAATACATATTTTTACTTTTTTATTCTAAACAGCTAAATACAAACCTTATGGTCTTCATAATAAATAAATGGGAACTAAATTTTTAAATTTTATTTAGAGAGCTAAAAATAGTATACAGGGTGATTGATTAGTGTGAGGAAGCTCTGTAGATCTGTTATAATAAAAGTAGGCAGCTTTAAGCTTTACATTTTAAAATTAGTTACGATGTGACAGGGTGTTTCATAAGGCCGTGCCAAATCAAAGTTATGTTTTTTAAATGAAACACCCTGTATATTTTTATATTTTTAGAATCTGCTCGATAATCTGATTTCAATGATATATCACACTTGTTATCTAATATGAATAGTAAAGGATCTACAGCTACTCAAAAATCACATTTTTTCAAATTCAGGTGGCTGTTGTAGCCAAACAGTTGGAAATCGAGGAAAACGGCTTACAGTCCCTATCCTAACTTTTTAAGGTCTATTCAGTGACATAAAATACATATTATTTGATACAGGGTGATCAAAAATCCAAAATCACATCCGATTTTTGATCACCCTGTATCAACTAATATTTTTTGCCACTGAATAGACCTTCAAAAGTAAGGATAGGGACATGTAAGCCGTGTTCCTCGATTTCCAACTTTTTGGCTACAACAGCCAAAATTGAAAATTAACCTAAACTGCACGAATATCTTTGGATGATGTTTTCTCGGAAACGGCTGCTCCAATCGAGATCAAACAAGTATTCCTTTTTGACGTAGTTTTCAATGTAGAATGTAAAAAAAAATATGGATAAGTCATTACCAAAAACACAAAAAAGTTATGAATAATCAAAATTTTCAAAAAATTCCCAAGTACACCCCTGACGAAATAATTTCTTTTTGAAGGTGTCAAAAGGTCACTATTATCGATCATATTTAACAGCCAAAATTTGGTTCTTTTATTTGTTTCCATTTTTAAGAAAATTCAAAAAATCAAAATAAAAAAAATGATTTCGAGAGGCTGTTGCTCGCTTAGGGGGCACTTTAGGACATAGGTCTATAGGAACTTTTTTTCCATTTTTTGGTTAAGGAATCTGCCTGAGAATTTTGGGACACATTTTAAAGGACACCCTGTATAATAAACATAAGAGCAACAATATATTTTATTCTTTATTCAGTATATTGTATCACCGAATTTAAAAATCTTTTACAAAATAATTAAAAGTCGACCGAACAGTAAATGAATTCCAGGAAAAACATATTTGTACAACTTTGTACAACTGCTTCTTATTTAAGCGCCATAATAGTGATATAAAGTCATTAATTGCTTATTCTTCAGTCTCTCATATAGAGTTAGCTGTAGCTTGATTAATAACTTTAAATTATTGAGGTATATCGGGAGCCCCTCCTGGAAATTTTCCAGTAATTTAAGGACTGCTAACTCTTTCACACTCATAAATATGTTTCACGCTTACTAACATAAGTATAGTAATCATATTCCGTTAAATGCAATACAAGAGCACAGGTGCAGGTATGGAACGCTACAATAGCTCTCGTAAGCTGTAGAAGAATATGTGGTAAAAGCCCCAAAATTACCATATATACACAAGCGCGATAAGACCCATGATATCCTATGGCGCAGCGGCGTGGGTAACCAAAACTGCACAGGCAAATTCAATGGGCCAACTCAACGGCATTCAGTGGCTCGTCTGTCTGAGTACCACTAGGGCCATGCGCACTACGCCAACTGCAACAATCGAGGTACTATTAAACCTTACGTCACTGCACATTTTTATACAAGGCTATATCAGCAAGTAAAAAAAAAAGGATAAGATTCTAGGAATGCCTACTGATATAGCCATAACCACAGACAAATTTGAAAGAAACTTTAAAATTCAAATACCACCCAAGAATTCTCTCGTATAGGCTGAACTCGTCTGGGATACAGAAGGTTCAAAAACCAATGAAGGAGCTGGTGCTAGAATCTGTGGACACAAGTCGAAAAAACGATTTCGCTGAGTCCCGGAGAATATGCAACAGTGCTCCAGACTGAACTATTAGCCAAACAACACTGTGTAAGAGAAATATTAAATCAGCAAGTCTCAGACAATGTTATTGCCATATACTCTGATGGGCAAGCAACGATAAAGGCAATGCTCTCACCAGAAATCATATCACGACTGGTGTAAGACTGCCTAGAAGACCTGGCTGAGCTAAGTAGACAAAATAGGGTGACCCTAACCTAGGTGCCGGGCCACGAGGGATATCAGGGCAACTAAAAGGCCGACGAATTAGCCCGAGAAGGCTCTGATAAGGTTATGGCAGGGCCTGAACCCTTCTGTGGAGTTGCTAAGGCATTGTGCAAGGCATCCATCAAACAATGGATGCAAAAAGAGTCTCAGGAATAGTGAAACAACTATCCAAGACTGAGACAGACCAAACAGTTCATCAAGGAACCATCGGCCAAGTTCACGAAAGACATACTGGATTAAAAACGTCAAATTGTTAGGATAACAGAAGGTCTTTATACCGGATACTGTCGCCTAAGAAGACACATGAGTGTCATCAATCCAGCAGAAGAAACAACTTTGTGCAGGTTCTGTGAAGAAGAAGAAACATCGTTCTGTACCAGGTTCCTACATTAGGCGAAGAAAAGCCAAACGCATGCAACTATATGCGGGAGCCAATGTCATAGCTACTAAGTCGAATAAAAAAGACCACGCTAGACGACATACTCTAACAATACACAATAGATCTGAAAAGATCGCGGTGGACAAGGACAAATAATGTCAAACTCCTTTAAAATATAATCTACTACTTA